GGATCTTCAGAAGGCGGAGATAATGGTGAGTGTGTGTGTGTGTGAGTGTGTGTGTGTGTGTGTGTGTGTGTGTGTGTGTGTGTGTGTGTGTGTCTGTACATGGTGAAATACCAAACAAATATGTCAGGATCTTGACAATAAAGATTCATGATCTCCTCTCATCTCCTCTCACCTCACCTCACCTCACTTCACCTCACCTCACCTCACCTCACCTCCCCCCATCTGATCTCATCCCATCTTATATCATCTATCTGATCTCATCTCACCATCTCATCTAATCTCCTAATCTTCGAATCATTGTTTACTTTTCTCCAACATATGTCACACAGTGGGTGGTTGGCGGGTGCTCTGGTGTGGTTTGCTCCTTCTTTCCTATCAAACATCTATTGTCCTGATTTCTCCTCCTTCTTCTTTTTTATGTTTGTTACTCTCTTGTATAACATCTAATCTGTGCCACATATTATGACCTTTTTGTGTTGCAAGTGCCGTAAAACTCTTACTAAAACTAAATACGACACTCACAGGTCTCACAGCTGAAGGCAGAGCTGAACAAGTTCGAAGAAGGCGACGCGGCTGACAGCGGACTCCTCTCCTCCCTCCCTCGCCCCTCCTCCAACAAAGAGGGAGACGATGAGGAGAGGAAGAAGATGGCAGAGGAGAGGAATGAGCTGAATAAGAGAAGAGAGGATCTGGAGAAGGAGATGGCTGAAGTGGAGAATGAGAAGGAAGAGTTGAAGAAGGAGAAGGGTGAGATAGAGAAGGAGAAAGCCAGCCTTGAAAGTGAAAGGTAAGATGAAGACATGGTTGTTTTATTTTGTTTTTTGTTTTTGTTTTGGCAATTGTTTTACGGCGCTCGCAACTGCATAAGGTCATATGAGCGCCGGCGACATATTTAACATTTTCAGTTTGGTAGGAATTTTGAATTTTGCACGGATGGTGGCTGAAGCCTACTCTTATCGATTTTTTGACCACCAAGGGATCTTTAATGTGCCCAACTTGCACATGAGACCTCCGAGGTGTTTGACAGAAAAGAATGGAGCAAACCGCAACAGAGATTCAGCGAACCACCTGTGATCATTGTTTGTTTCATCAGGCTTCTGAGATTTTCAAAAAGAATTCAGGATTTCCGTTTTCTTTTATAGACAGCTCTTCTTCATATTAAATGCATTGTATTGTGACAAATTCATGTCACTTTGTTAGTGTTTGAGCACTTATTTGGCTGCTTGCACTGTATGCTTCCCGAGAAGCAGAGAAAGAATGTTTCTGAGTGTTGTAGGCTCTGCTGGGGTAATGATATAGATTGCAAAGCGCAAGTACAAATGGTATTATTATTATTACCATTATTATTATTATTATTATTATTATTATTATTATTATTATTATTATTATATACTTGCCAGTAGTATGCATGGGCGCCCCATCATCGGCAGGGGTAATGGTGAACTCTGCAGTCTTGTACGGGCCGGGTACGTAAGGGTCTGTGTCGTCAGAGGCTCCATAGTGTAGCGTCAGCACCGAGACCAACAGAACTGTGGGTGAGAGACGTGGAGCGATGATGACGATGATGATAATACTTATTAAAATAAAAATAATAATAACAATGATAACAATACTACTACTACTACTACTACTACTACTACTACTACTACTACTACTACTACTA